AAAGAGGACTCGGCACTCTCTTTTTAACGTTTAAATAAAGCAAATCAATTACCATATCGCAAAGAGGAGCTATTGGTTAGCGACATTTATGTAGATTTTCTGTAGCATGTAAAAGTGGCCTTTATTTTTCTAAGTGATATTTTCTGCTTAGAGTCAAATTCTTTTCATGCAGCTTACAAAAATAAATACTTGTATTTTGCTAAGATCATAATAGCTCATTAGAAGAGGCTGAATTTGGACCTAGACTAAAACCTAACACCACAGGGCTGAGCATGCTTACTTGAACCTATAATGTTGCTAGTTCTTGCTCTCTGGGGAAGGAGAGGACTAGGGGAGAGGATTCAGCCTTCTTAATTGTGAACCTCATTAGTGACGGTTGCTAGGCAAAACACACACCTACTTTCGGTGCATATGAAAGAGATAAACAATACGTCATAGACCATAATGACTCTGGTGCTCAGGGCAACCTTTAATTATTATATTTTTGTTCTCTTATACCTTAGTTATTAATGCAGAAAAACAAATTAGTTCTGTGTGTGTGGACTGCAGCAGATTTGTAAATCGTCTTCCATTTTTTGATGTCTAGATCATATTTCTTTCCGATAATTGTTGCTTGCCTCATTCACTTCTCTGTGTGCCCATTGGTAAATACTATTTGAAACGTAAAATGACAATGATTACATTAGCAGCTTAGTGTTCTGTTATTACTCTAATTAATTTTATTAGTGTAAAAAGCCATGATCCTGTCAATATGTTAGTAACAACTTGCAAGAGGAGTCCCATGGAAACTGATGTGCATGGCTTGACCATGCAGCCGTACGTCAAATCGCAGTGGCTTTGAGAATTCTAACTCTTTAAGAACGGAAGATCTATTTGATCCCTATGCATTTAATTTTTGGCCAGTCCTGGAGGGGTCAACAGTCAGGCAGCTGGACTAGATGATCACTGTAGGTCCCTTCCAACTGAAAAAATTCTATTCCATTCCATTCCACTCCACTCTGTTCTGTTCCGTTCTGTTACATTCTAATTTTATTAAAAAACAGGTTACCTGAGAGTCATTTTCTATCTTCATGTTGGCATATTTTACAGTGTGAACAAAGCGATACTTAAATCTAAATGGTTGGTTTGGGCTTTGTGGGAGAATAAATAAATACATGTGTGCACGTGTACGAGCGCAGCTGCATTTTGCGTGAGTGATTGGGAGGCTGATGGGCTCCAGAAAGATAGTATTTCACAATTCTGGATTTTCAGAGACACTTTCCATTCTCCTCTTCATCTCAGACTATCTTCTTTTAGCAGTTCAGGCAAGAAGTCAATCACATTGAGTCAGTTTGAAGAAAAACATTTTATGCTGTTTTTCTCATACGAGCCCCCTCCTGCCGTAATCTGCAGTAAGGCCCAGCCACAGGAAGCTGACCTCACAGTAAATTCTTTACAGATTCGGTCATGTTTTTACCATCCACTTAAACTTGCATACATAACCTGAGACTGTACCTCTGGATCAAGGAATATGACAAGCCGAAATAAAATCAAGTCAAATTAAATAGCAAGAAAAAGCTGCAAGCAAAACAAGACTGAAAAAAAAAAAAATAGAAAAAGGTGAAAAATTGGTTGTGACTGCAAAACTGTAAGTATTAAATAAAGAAAGAAGTCAGAAGCAAATTCAGAAGCGACCGTATTCTGGTTGACAAGGGCTGAGAAATACTAATGGACTTCTTAAATGTGCGGTTTGATGGATGAGAGAAGAAATTATGTAAAAGTAAATGTAGTAGTGTATCAACATAAAGTATGGTGGATAAAAAAAAAAAAAAAAGCATTGCAAATAAAAAAAGACATGTAAATGTGTGCCTACCATTTTCCAGATAAGAAGGGGCCGTACCTTCTGAGGGGTCAAGGCGGCGAGCCCGCCTCCCGTGTTTGGAATTGTTGTGTACAAACATGTTGTCTGAGACAGCCAGCACGTGGCCATCCACATTGACTGTTGTTGATACAACAACCTGCAAAAGAAAACAAACCCCCAAATTTAAAAAACCCCACGCATTTTCACAAACTTAAATACAGAATCGGCTCTTCTTTTAAGACAAAACAACATCACAGCCTGTTACTTTTCGCTTTCAACGAAGTGAATGACAACTATGAGTACATCTCTGTTTATCTGGCTAGCACTGGTGATTTTTAACTCGCAATTGTTTCTCTTCAGAACCTGCTACACTAATTAGAGTTTAATCTCCTATTATGCTAACAAATGAATTCAGTTCAGGGAAATATTCTTCTAGCCATTAGTTTCAGAAACACCCCTCTAGCCACTCATTTTAAAAGTGCTGTTTTGATTGATCTGTTGATATATTGATTAGATAGTTTATCTAATTAAAATTTGTTCACTTGAGACTGTCTTCAAATGAAGGGTTGTGAGGATTACAAATAAAAAAAGCTTAATAAATCAGGAACCATCATAACTCCCCATTTTTTCTTCAGTAAATGATCTCCAGGTCAGTTTTACAATTACATTTAATGTCTGATAATGAACTTTTTTGCATTTGAAAAGACCAAGTTGAATATGAATAGTGAAAGTGTTTTCAATCCATGAAAAGTATCCCTTCTCAAGTTCATTTGGATGGTGATTGACCCTGGTATGTCAATGGAATTTCCTCCTTTATTTTTGAGTGAAAGGCTCCTATTCTTGTGTCCAGGTTCAGAGTCCGGCCATAGAAGAGATGATGGATAGGGCCTTCTTTGGCTTCCAGCTGCTTCTCAGTAGAAAATGGAAAAGGAACATATGCAAAACGCACAACCTTCCCGATAAAAACACCTACACAATGGAGTTGTGAAACTCCTTCCGGAAACGATATCGCATGAACACAAGCCAAAGAGGAAACCATGAGATGCGCCTGGGTTTGTGTGGAACACAGCTTCATAGGTCGATCGCTAGTATCCCAGATAGACATTTACATCTTATTTAAATACTTCAGCGTGGGCCCTGTGGTGTGGGATCCAGATTTTCTAAACTGTGTAATCACTGCAGCATTTTCTTTGCAGTTTAACATTAGTAGAGTCCTTAAAGTCAATGGCTAAGTTAGGCCTTATCAACCGTACTGGTGATGGTGGCAAAAGCTAGTACACATTTTAGCTTTCATCTTCCGTTTATTTTATTTTTGTATATAACAAAAATGGTTGCCAGGGTGCTCACACCAAATCCTATGCCCAAACACATAATGAACAAAAATGGAAGGGCTAAAACTAGCCTCCTTTTGCACAGAGCTGGTCCAAGGCATCAGAAGAAAATTCTTGTCTGCTTCTATGTTTTGGATCACCCCTGATCCTGCTTCTTATTCACAACCCATAATTAGCTTTCAGCTATCACAGCACCTTTTCTGTGTATCCTGCCTCCTCGGAGACAGCCATCTGCGGTACCCTTTAGAACAGCCCGAGGGCAGTTCTCTGCCAGGCTGCTCTGCTTCCCTATCCTTGTCCTCCCAGAAGTGGACACTTTCCCTCTTGTCAACATCCACTTTGGAGAGTGCTGAGGTTGCACACTCACCTCGGCTGCAGAGCTGCTGCCAGGCCACTGAGCTACCTGCCTTCACTTTTAATGAGATTCGCAGACTTTAAGAAATATTGCAAAACATGCAAGCGTGATTTTCAGCAAAGATTTCTGGATTTGGTTCCTAGAACAGGTATATTAAAAAGACAGAGGAAGATGTATATAAAAATGACGGCTATTTTTGTTCTGTCATGTATATATAGGTCAGTCACCAAGGGAAAATACTGTAGTTCTGCAAAAGAAAGTAGACATGCCCTGCTTTGTTATATCGGCTTATTCCTGCAGCGCACCTAAAGAAAGGTGCTGAGACAGTGAAACCAGTTAAAAATATTGTTCAAGATCTGACATACTCTTAAGTCCAGTTAAACCTTCTGAAAGGCAGGGAGATTAGCTAAAGAGACCCAGGGAAGTCTTCCTAGTGCCTACTGGCTCCATTGTCGACCACAAGATCACTCATGACTGATGCTTCATTTAGTCATCGGTGAGACAAAGAGGACATTTCCACTCATTCCAGGTTTGACCTTCTGTTCTGTTCAGATGGATCAATATCACCAATGCCACGTGAAGCCGAGATGCATGAAAAATGGAAGCTTGGCTCAATTGTTTTGAAGAAATATTTTTTCCAGCTACAGATCTTTTCTGTTGGCTGGCTCAAGGGTGCTGGCTTCACCGGTTGGTTGGCTGTGCATGAAAACAGATGTCACATGTTTTGCTATCAAGTTTAATCACAAGTTATTCTTCTCAAAAATAAGAAAGTTTTGAACATCTCAATACTACTTTATTATTAGTCTCAAATTGAATCATTGTGAAATATTTTGAAATAAAAAGCACATATTTCCTAACAATCATTTCAAATGACCCCAAATACGGAGGCAATCATTTGTCCATCACATCAGCTGTCTCTCTGTAGTGCTATGATTCACCACAGGATATTTCAAAAGCTGTAAGGAGAAAGCGGAGTATTAAACATTTTCTAACGCAATTGGAATAGAAGTATGTGGGTTGGACCGCCTCGGCTGGATTTACAAGTTGTGAATGTGAAAAACCCCTCTGTGAGATCCAAACTTCACTGAGCTCCACGGTCATGTCTGTTAGTAAGACTATGCTACTTGGTCTACAATACGTAAAACTTCTGCAGGTCTGAGCACACGCCACACTACAACACAAGGCATTAGTATGAAGGAAAATTATGGAAATACTTTCTGAGGAGAAACGCATTTGCTTCAGCACTGATCTATTACAGTCTGCTGCAGAACTCAGTGAGTCCCAAGAACCAGCATTTCAATCAGTGGGGGAAATGTAAAATACCAATACCATTTTTTTAAGGCACACAGCACTGGAACTACACTAAGTAGAAGCACCAATATTGGTTTCTCATAAAGAAAGTTCAAGATGAAAATGCGAGTAAGTCTTTTATATATTGTTTATTCTTTAAGAGGGATCTGTACCTGGAATCTTCGCATGTCTCGTGGGTTGCCTGCATTCTTCAAACAGTTCTGATTGCACTTGAGGAAAAACTTTAGAAAGAATCTATAAAAATACAAAATTGAAATCTATTAGATTCATCAAAATGTAAATCTGATTTTTAAAAAGTTTAATAAAATTTAATCATAAATAGTTATACCCAAAAGAATACTGGTAGTGAAATATTACTTTCCTATTAGTTAATGAACTTATTTTAAAGCATAAGATCTCTGTCGTAAACAGAATATTATTGCCAGGGAAAGGCAAATTTATATTTTTAATTTTTCAACAACTACAAATGTATTGACTCCAGGCCATATCCTTAGCTCAGTGTGGGAAAGTTGATTTCAATGATTCATTGACTTCAAAGGCAATGACTTAGACCAGATGAGAATTTGTCTCTATTTTTTTAATACATTTTATTTTTTCACAACTTATATTAGCAGTAATGACCTCTACGTCAAAAAATTCCAAGGTAATGAATGATCAATCTTCTGAAAAACACTTGGCTTTGCCTCCGGTTTGGAAACTCTCGCTATTCAAAGGGACTCAGTCCAACTCCTGCTGACTCCAGGGAGATCCAGGCGGGATCTGCCCACCGGCAAGGCCCCGGTTCCCTCATTGTTTTTGAAAGGAAAGGAACATGGCAAATTAGGCCCTGTCTTACAACCTCTTCAACCTTTGCCAGCCTTTAACTGTGAGGAGTCACTCTACCCGGGGATGGAAATCCAACTTATTTTTGCTGAGCGGCAACCAGCAATTATTTAGGACTAACCCTTATCATCTAGGTATCTCCCCATAAACCATTTCTGTAGCAAAGCTGCCTCCCGGGAACATAGCAAGCACTTATGGGAAAGGGAAAAGCTTGGAAAGGGGCAAAATCCTTTATGCCGCCCTCCTGTACTGGAGGAACGAGCCGATATTGGACATCTCCACCCTTCAGGCTATGCGAGATGGGGGCACCCTCGCCATCCTGTCCTCAGCAGGAGGACGTCCACAGCCTAAGGCCAGCTTTTTTCTTCAAGTAGCTATATTTTCATGTTTCATAATTTAAAAAATATTCTATGGGTCTGGTCTTTGGCTAATGACAAGCAAGGCTCAGGACTTTCTCTTCACCCAGAGTTTCTCGGATGCGTCAGTCCAGCAGCTTGTGCTGCCCAACTTCATACGCGGTGAATAGCGAGGTTAGGCAGAGCTTTTACATTTAGAATATGAACAACTATTATTTATTCATGTCAATCTTTATAAGTGACTCTGACTATTCTCGTTGTACACACCTCGCAGAAGTTTCCGTGTGCCAACAGCACTCCTGGCAGGAGGCAAGCCAGGCGCCTCTTCCCTTCTTCAGCACCCAACACAACCCAACTGCAGCTGATAAAAGTACCGCTGTGGCTGCACTGCATCGTGCTCCCTCCTGCGGAGCTTTGAGGGTCAGACAGGAACATTATGGGACTATCCTCATATCACAAACCGGTGGTTTCAATCGCTGGTCTTCCCTTTCAGTTAAACCTTGAGTAGGACCCTAATATTAGTACAGGATGCTAATACTGAAGGAGCAATCTCTCACATCAGAGACGCAAGGAGGGAAACGACTAGATTTATTGAAACAGTGCATAAATAAATCGATGCTGTCAGTTCAGTTGAATGCACGTTTCTTTAAAACTTCCTATCCCAAAATGTGTAAAGGGGTTTTAGCTGTCGAGCTGAAAGACAGCTGGATTTCCACGGTGGTTGATGGGATCTCCTAGCTCGGATGCTCACCTGAACTCAGGTTTTCTGGACACTGTTGCAGGGACGTTATCAGCAACACCACAAAACTGCATCTTTGCTAGCTGCACCCTCACCCTAATTTTATCTGCCTGGTTTGTTTGTTTTAAGATATTTACAATCTCCAGATCAACTGAATATAGGCTAGGCATAGTGGCATTTCTGTTACACTCTATTCTTTCTTCCACACCTCCCACCACATGGACTGCGATGGTGTGCAAAGACAAGCTGATGGCCATGTCAGTACGGGAGCACCAAGCACTGGGGAGTTAGGAGGTGGGGTGAGCCTCCAGCTTTACAGCTCCTTAGTGCCACAGCCAGGCTGAAGAGGAGTATCGTATCTATTTTTTTTCTGATCTCAAATGGGTGTTGTGAGGCTTATTGAGCTAATGTTTGTAAATTACTCGGAAATTCTCCAATGAATTGTGCACTAGGAATGCTAAGTATCGCTCCTCGAGGATTGTTTTTAACGTGAAGCATTCGTGATGAATTGTTTCTATACAGAGAGCTCACATCCTGTCAAAAAAAAAAAGGCCATTAAGTACCTTTTCACTAAACATCATCTGGAACTGGTATTTGTTCAATTATTTGGTGAAAAGGACCCATGCTTGGTGGAATTAGACATCTTCAAGTTTACTAGGATGACCCTGAGCATTGGGCTAAATATTGAAGCCACAATGCTGGGGTGAACAGAAGCAGCGCTCATATCTCAGCTCTGCTACATTCCTTGAGACTGAGATATTTTATTTTATTTTTTAATCTCTGTTTTCAGAGAGTTCATGGAGCACAGGTGGCATCAAGACAAGATTTTCAGAGGAAGACAACATAAGTTAAAAACCACGTTCCCAGGCAGGGCGTTTCTCAATGCTTGCCAGGAGAAGACGACTGACTTGATCGTTCTTCTCAACAAGGACTGTGGGCACCACGACTCATCCCTGCCGCAGAGAGGACGGGGCCAGGTCCTTTCTCTGCAAGCCCTGCGCTCCCGAGACGAGGTCACTGCAACACAGCACGAAGCTCGGAGCTGGACTGGAGCTCGGTTTGGTCCTGTCTCAAACTTCACCGCTACCGACAGAAGGAGAACGCAAGCTTTTCTAGATTTGCCTCTCCCCGCTACGTTTTGTATTACACACACAAATTGTAGTATTTTTAATAAATACAGCCTTGCGGAATAGCCTTCCTAAACATACTAAGCTGTTCCTAAAATACTGATATGGAGAAAGATGCAGTCTTTGTGATGTTCCTGTGCTCTGATTTTTTCACACTGCTAGAAAGGGGACTGCTACCACCTTAATTAAAATGTATTACCTACCACAAGACTTCACTATTTTAAGACAAAATTTACATCTTTTATTAACTCACCTCACCTATACACTTAGCTCGCGATGCCTCTCAACGCCCATCTGCCACCCCCGTACAGTAAGTCACTTGATATTCCACCCACCAATTTTTCCTAACAACCACTGTGCAATTAAACTCAACACGTTCTGTTGCGAGGTAAATTAGGCACACCTGCGGCCAGACTTCATTTGAACTGCATCAGAAAAGGACCTAACAAGGTGAGAGCGTACCACAAAGTTATAGGCCTGTCAAGCAATTAGGTTTTCACTTCTGGGACATCCGCACAGTGCAATTATGCTACACATTACAACCTGGCTAATCTTCTGAACAAATGTCATGTCTCGGAGAAGCTAGTAAAAGCAGTTCATCTGCAAATGTGTCTGCTCTTAAGCCTCCACCTTATGCACATAACAACCTACAGGAGACTTCTCTGTGATATGAAAGATGTTTTCTCCATAGAAGATTTTTTAAACCCTGCAAGTGCCTTTTCATCCTTTTCACCTCTTCTTAACCTTTTTGAGAGGAGGTGGTGTAGCAAATAGACCAGAAAGACTTTTGTACTTGAATTTCAATGTTAAGCAAGAAAATATGGTATTATTAAATTATTAAAATATGGTATTATAAGCACGAGCGGTGGCTTTAGTTTGGTCCAATTCAAATATTGTTTGGCTAAAGGAATATTCGTGGTGGAAAACCACCTATTGCATCCTAGAAAGATCATTAGTAAAGCATATTTCCACCAGACCCCAAAGAGAAGCGTCATTCATAAAAAAAATAATTCTTTTTTAAATTAATTCATTATTTTTTTAATTATATTTTTAATTCTTATTATTTACTCAAGAGTGTGAATGTCCTGGCAACAGTACCCTAAACCAAAATCTGCACTGACGATAGGTGAGAGCCCTGGTAAGGAAGTCAGCCGAGACCTGCAGTGACAAGCAGCCTCCACACCGTCACCAAATAAGATCTTCCCAACGCCCGATTCAAACCGGACAGGGGAGAAAATACTGTGTCTGCCATGCCGGCACCGTTTGGCTTTACACCAACAATTCTGTTTCCTTTTCATCCATATTTCAGGTACGCGGTTAGTGCGTTCAATTAAGGCTACAGATGAGATCTTGCTATACTACAAAATACAGAATTGTTAAGCTATGACAAGCCCGCTCTACTTTCATGAGTAAAAAAGCGTGGATTTGGATCATTATCTGCGATTCTGCAGCACTTTGGAAGAGAAGCTGTCTGCAGGGGCACAACGCTGTTACAGGGCGGAGGCAGGAGAGAGCAGGAGAAAAGGAGACATTTGAAGTCAAATGATAATTCTCATCCTTTACTCTATTACCCTTTAATTGGCTTTCTCCTAAGAAATATCTGACAACCACTTTGCATATCTCTTTTCTAGAGCCTAGTAAACAAAGGATTTAATACTCTTGTTATGAAAGGAAAAATCTTTCCTCTGTCAGAAAATCTTTGGCTTTAGCACAATAAACTCTTTATTACTGCTAAACTTGGATTTGCTGCTCGATCGCAAAGAGGCGATAAAAACTCTAACCTGTCATTAGTGCATTATGCTTAATTGTGTACAGTATGTTTCCAGTTGCATCTGTTGGCCCATTATCAAAATGACCATTATGTACACTAATTCCCTGACCCTGTCTTTATTTCCCTAAAGAGTCATAATCTTTCACAGTAGGTATCAGAGTAAATCAAGCTTGAAATATGGGCTTTATTTACTTGTTTCTCCCAGGCAGAGTGGAAGACTGTAGCTAAAGACAAACTGCTGTAGATAAGTAGCAACTACATTGTAATATTCTACTTGGGAGAAAGGGTCCGAGATCCTAGGCAACCACTGGAAGAGTAAAAGACATCATCCTGTTTCCTTTTCAGTTGGGTTCTCTATAGTTATCAAAGGTAATGTAAGGATAATGAAACATTATCATTGACCAATGAACTGGTTTGTAG